CGGGCGGTGCGAGCCTCGTTTCCTTGGGAGCTGGGAGAAGGCTGGCTGCTCCTTTCGGCTTCACGGGATTCGTTTCCACGGTGCACAAAAGTGCCTCAAAAAAAAAAAAGTGCAAAAGTGGAAGGCGTGCGGAAGAGGGGGCGAGTATATAACAAACTATATTTTGAGTGGAAATGTTGGGGGGTCGTCTTATACGCCGGGTCGTCTTATACGCCGGCATATACGGTATCTGTTTACATTAATGAGGACCATATCATTTAGCAACAAGGCTCCCTTTTGGAATTGAAATAAGAGAATTTAGAACTGATCTATATCTACTGTTGGAACCATCACTTTTCAAAATGCTACACTGGCCACTACAGATGGCAAAGCAGCATTACATATCTGTTATACAATTACTGTTTTGCTCCCTTCCTTCTTTCTGATAGCAAACAAATATTGTTGTTTTCCAAATCCTATAGGTTGCTACCTTTATATTTCTTGGTGTTCTCCTATCCATTTACTAACAAAACCTGAACTCCTTAGTTTTCATTCTTCACTACCAAGCCTAAATTCAAACTCCCAGATTTCTGGCCACTTGGAACAGAGTATTCCCAGTAGCTATTTATGAAGTTTCTATATCTCTAAGAATGCATTTCCCTGCATCAGCATTTTGTGAGAATTTTAATTGTCTCATATTTATTATAAATGTTTTTCTTATATCTTTCAGCACTTATAATAGTAGGATAATTGTTGAATAGAGTGATTGGGGGGGTTGGTTTTTATATTGTGAATCTCATGTGAGTGAACTTCAACAATCAAGTAACACTGCAATTATATTCATTGATGAAACTTTTTATTCTCAAGACTTCATTGAATTACATTAGCAATCAGTAATATTTCGTAAGTAGCATACAGTAGTCTTGGTTCTTAACAGAGCAAGAAATAACATTTTTATTTCATGGCAATGAAAAATGGAGGTGGGAGGAGGATACTTTTTTCCCCAGTATTCTCAACCTGGTGTCTTTCAGTTGTTTTGGACTTTAGTTCATGGCTTGGGACCTTGGGAATTGACATCTGACTTGTTTGAAGAGCATCAGGCTTGGGAAGTGCTCTGTCTTTCATACCA